TTCTTGTAGAGAGGTGCCCAAAACTGCACACGGTGTTCGAGGTGCGGCCTCACCAGGGCCGAGTACAGGGGTGCGATCACCTCCCTACTCCTGCTGAGCACACTGCAGGCCAGGATGCCATTGGCCTTCGTGGCCACCTGAGCACCCTGCTGGCTCATGTTCAGCTGCCTGTCAGTCAACACTCCCAGGTCCCTCTCTGCCTGGCAGCTCACCGGCCCCTCCTCCCCAAGCCTGTAGTGCTGCTTGGGGGGTTGTTGTGGCCAAAGCGCAGGACCTGGCACTTGGCCTTGTTGAAACTCATGGAATTGGCCTCAGTCCAGCAATCGAGCCTGTCCAGATCCCTCTGTAGAGCTTCCCTACCCTCAAGCAGATTGTCACTTCCACCCAGCTTGGTGTCATCTGCAAACTTACTAAGGGTGCACTCTGTCCCCTCATCCAAATCATTGATAAAGATGTTAAACAGGAGTGGCCCCAGTACTGAGCCCTGGGGACACCGCTCATGACCATTTGTCTTTCAGAACCAGCTTTTTCTGGAAGAAAGCATCTGCACTATCTGGCTAAATCTAGCTCTGTTAACACTATCAATGTTATCAATGCAGGCTATACCCCAATTTGCAGATAAGTGTGTAAAAAAGAGAAGTAGCTTTTCATTCCAGCAATATTGTGGCAAATACCACACACATAGCAAAGCAACGCTCTTGAAAGCTGCGTATGGCCATAGTGCATGTATATATATACTCTGCTGGAGTTTCACATGCTAGTAGTATGTCCTTAAGGCAGGGAAGAGGTTAAAAGAAGCTATATGGAATGTAGTTTTTTTAGAGTTTATTTATGTGAATTTGTTGGAAAAAGCCAAGCATTAGATTTAAAACTAAGTGATGGGTGTAACGGTCCCATTTTCAAATGAAATACAGGTGCCAGTTATGTCAGACCTCCTACTCCTGCTTTACCCAGTGTTCCTCTAAACTGAGATATGAAACATCTTGGACAAAGTTTGCTAAAAGGAAACTAAAGCACCAGAAGGGATAGTTTAAATATCTGCTGAGCTGTCAAGACCCTCAGAAGATTGCTTAGCTGCTGCTACCAGGGTAAGAGTTACCACTTTACAGACTGTAACCTTTACATGCAAAACCAATCCATCTTCAACTAGTAAACAAAAACTAAAAACAAGTACATGTTTCTTTGGCTAGTTCTGGAAATAATTATTAAAAGTAGATTAGGAACTAGGCATGCAATTACATCATGTTAGGTGGTTACATCCAAGATGACAAACATCAGGCAAAGCGTAGTATCTAGCTTATACACAGACCTCAATTTCCTATGTATTAACTTGTCTGAGAGGACCAACAGAGGACACACAAAGCAGTTGTCAGTCTCATGCTGTCTGCCTTAGCCCAGCTGGGACAGAGGAACACTTTATCATCATTACCAACTGGTCTTAGCAATCCAGAAAGGAAGTTAGAAACCTGGATTTTTCTGCCCTGGGTTGTAGAGCATGCACCTTCTCTCAGGTGTGCTTGACTTTGCATACTTTATCTCCTAGCCCCGGCTGATATCTACCCATAAATGAACACAGTGACTATGATAAAACAAAGATGCATGAGAAGCTATTAGAAGTTTGTACTGTAGCCCTGCTTTAGGGCAGTGTCTGCTTGTCTTTGCTGTGCATGATGTTGCATGACAGCTAGTTACAGAGCTGAGTGCAGGAGTTAAAGAGTCCAACTTTGGGCAGCCAGCATGAAAGGAAAGATGCTGCAGGAGTGAGTTTCCAATTGGTTTCTCAGCATATATCTCCCAACAGTAAGTCTTTTGAGCATGAAGATTTGCTGAAATGACTCTCACTGTATCTGAGAGATCGCTAGTTCTGTCAGTAGCATCAGCACTCCAGTTAGGTATTGGCTTTGTAGAAACTGCAAGAAAGAAAAAAAGCATGTAAAAAACTGCAGTTGCCAGATTTCCACACCCTTAAATAGTTGGAAACTAGGTACCAAGTTTTCCAACCTCTCTGTTGTTTGCAATGTACCTTTGTTACTGTTTTGACCCTGGATATGGAGAACACACACATACCTACACGCCACTCCTTTCAGAACTCTCTGACTTCTGCTCCTGTCCTGTGTGAAGCAGGGTACCTAAGAAATGCCCTGCTCCTACTCCAGCTTTTTGGAAGGTGAGAATCCTAGCACTTCTGCTCTTTCAGCTACCTCCCTCCTTCTGTAGGAAGGCCAGGAAGGAGACTGTATTGAATGCAGGTCTGACTTGAACTCATTATCCCCATTATAGAATTGCCATAACTGAGTTCAGACAACGCACATTCCAGAAGAAAACCCCTCAGAAAGCCTATTCAGTTGAGTATCTCTTGCATTTACTTATCTGCAACATAAAGAGTTGGTTCAGCCACTTCTAAACTACTACAGATAAAAACAAGCAATGCAATACTGACATTTAGTAGTTTGCAGCTGTCCTACTGAAGTCCAAAATTGTTAAAAGATGCTTCCCAGCAAAGCTTATTTTCTTTCATTTGATGAACTCATGCTCCAGGAAAGAAGTGCATGCAGGAGTGTGGTCCCAGTTGTAGCCTCTGACATTCCCTCTGTACTCAGAACAATGAAGTCAGCACATCATTGACAGACTATATTTAAGCAATTGCTTTTACAAACTGTTCTTTAACTTGGAAGACCTATTGTATTGCTTCGAGAAACTTCAGGAAGGATTAATACTCCATGGTTTTAAAGGATATTATAGATACCCCTATAGGAAGACCAGGACCTTTTTGAAAAGGGTTACTAGTGAAGTAGTTTTAAGTGAGATGTTTTGACTCTTAAGATCATCTGTTGTCTCTTGGCTCACCCGCACACCAGTTATTTTTAAATAGCAGGTTAATTGTGTTTGTCTTCAGCCTGTGTGTTAATAACTGCAATACTAGAAAGCTGATGAACTTTTAAAAGTTTTTTTTATTAAGTTTGGGATCTTTTTAAGCCTAAGTTTTGGCCAGTGAGCAAAGGAACTTTCCTGTTCATACCGCAGCTAATTCACCTATTTCTGGCCAAGACTAGGGTTAGTAGCTTCTGCTGCAATATGGCAGTAGAATACTGTGTTGATAGCTGCCCCAACTCCAGAACTAATTATGACTAATAAAAGCTGAGGGTTTTAACTTCATGTAGGAAATTATGCACATGAAACACGAAACCTTCATTTTTAAGAGTAAGGCATTTCTAGACAGGTACACAGCTATTTGTCCAGCTTTAGTTAGGACAAAATGCTACTTAAAACCTCACCTTTATAATCCCATCACAGTGTGCTGAGGCAATTGCTGTAGAAACTTTCACCAGTTTTGTAGCTGACAAGTGGATCTTAAAATGTCTGTGGAAGTGAGAGTAAAGGCAGTCCATAAAGATATCCACCTCTTCTTGAGTGATTTCTCCTGGAGATTTTTGGACTGTGTCCCACAGAGCTTTTGCATCCTCTGGATGAATAGCATATGAAATATCTAGAGGCTGGGGTAGACAGGGGACAGAGAAAATGAGTTCCATGGCAGATGCAGTTTTGTCCACTTTGCATCCAGTCCACATAGCTGCCATCCAACTGAGATTGAGAGGGCTGATGGCTAAACGGCGGAAGCAGCAGTCAAAAGTCTTCTGAAACCAACTTCCAACAATGGACGTGAAATTCTCTGCCCCATTAGCAAGAAACAAAGGCAAACAAGTGAAGTCCTCTGGCACGTTCTCAGAAAGATCCTCTCCAGACACAGAGCAGAACCAGCCCGACCATATCAGTTTCTCTTCTGGGTTTTTTGGGGAAGCTGGTGATCTCAAAGACAGCTGGGATGGGGAAAAGAAGCATTTGAATGCTACAAAGCAAGTTTGACTTCTTTTAGGCAAAAATGGTTTTTATTTTCTTAATTTCAAAATGTGTTTGGTAGAAGTTTTTTCTCAAGACCTCACATGCAACATTCTTATCTGTAAAGCTCATACAGTTATTCAGTCTGTCTGTTACATCCCTAAGAGATGTGCAATTCTGTTGAAAACAGCGGGAGGAGCACTTTTTACTTCATTAGGAACAGTCCTGAAATCTGAGTTTATGCTGCTTAGTTCAGAAGAGCCAATCCATTGTACATCCTAAAACCACTGCCATACTGAACTTAGCATTTCAGTAGCTGCTTCCACTTGAGGCAAAGCATTTCAGAAATATTAATTAGACTTGAGCTATGGCCAGGAGGTAGGATTATACCAACTTTATCCAGGAAGCTAAATAACCTGAGTTCCTTACAGTAAATTGACTGCTGAACTAAAAAATTAGACAAAGATTGCTCCTCATAGTCTTGCTCTGATCTTATCAAAGAGGTGAACTCAAAATTGCAATTAAATGCATCTGTTGCTTATGAGGCATTCTGTTACAATTAAAAATAGACAAGACTCGATTTCATTACATCTCAAAAAATGCTACAGTAGTTATTCCATACAGCTAGGGCTTAGTTGTTTGGTTTGGGTTGTTTTTTTTTGTTTGTTTGTTTGTTTTTTTTTTAATAAGAGACAGAGCATTTTATGACAGCAAAAGCAACTTGTAAAATGCGTCTCAATTACAGTTATCAAAACTGCTAGGAAGACTCCTTACCTGCACAAGAATCGCAGCGTGGTCTTGGTCGCTGCCTTTCAGGTCTGGAAGGCTAGAGACAGCCACTTGGATGCCCAGCTCACCCCCTACTTCCACGGCCAATCCTTTCTGCTTCTCCGCAGCAATAAAAGCACGAAGCAGCCTAGCGTAATGCCTCAGGTGAGCACTAGAGAATCTGTACAGAGGGGTCACACTGTATAAGGTCCACTGCTTGCGCAGTAGAAATGCTATTCTCTGGTGATCTGCGCTTTCCTAAAAAAAAAAAGAAAGTTAAGACAGTAGTATTAAAACCCAACGAAAAAGGTTAGCTTCCCCCATCAGGGCTTGCAAAGAGACCCCCGGGCCGCCACACGCAGGCTCTGCACCCCAACGGGGACGGTTTTCCCGCCTGGCAGCGCCGCGGGAGCGGTGCCGAGCGGGAGGCGGCACCGTTGAGGCGGTGGCGAGTCCCGCAGAGGCGGGGACCGGAGCGGGAGCGAGCTCGGCCGAGGAACAAAGGCCTACGGGGCAGCTCGGCCGAAGGGACA